CTGTACCCCTGCCAAGGCAGATTGGATAGGAGGGAGAGTTTATCCTATGAAGTGTGACAGATAGTTAAATAATAGGTTGATCCAATCAGTCTGAAGACAGGGCAGCCAGCTGTTCTTTTCCTTCTCCCAAAACACCCAGCACTGACCGAATCAGGCCCTAAAGCCTGGCCTGACCCCTTCACAACGTATATTCGAGCCCCACGATTGTGTGGCTGAGAGTGTCCGCGCCTGTGAGTTTATACGATCCCTTTCAGTTCATCGCTTGATGAAAGGGTCGCGGCTCATCTGCTGTCTCTGGATGAGATCAGCGGCTGTCATGAACTGGAGACCCCTTACATTCAAACTCCATGACCCGAACTCGATGCCTTTGGTTTCATCGAAAGATCCTCATAAAGATGGATTGGACGTTGACATCAGTATAGCTCGGGGTTCTTACGTCTCATATTGCTTAAAGGCACTTCACAGGAAAGAGTCAGGTTCACAATGGCTCGCACGATCATGGCCAGGCAAGCTATTCAGGGAGGGATTTAACAGTGACGCCAACATTTTCATAGGTCACCGCGTCAGTACTCCGCCCTTCCATTCCCTTCTACCTCTTGGAACTCTCGGCCCTGCAGGATTATGCGCCGAGATAGAGCTGATGTTACTCCTTATATCCTGAGCGCGCACCATCCGTTTAGCGAATAATGTCGTCCAGATACATGGGCAAACTTCTCCTCAAATAATTAGGAGCATGACTGTGGCTGGTTCTGGATGCGTTCGATGACCTCTTTGCATCCACCTCGTTCTCCCTCTTGCCTCTCACACACTCTCCAGCCTTCACTCACAAACGATTACTCACTCACTCGTGCACTCGTTCCCACACACTTGTCCCGTCCAGCCCGCTTCGCCACGCTCCGGGCTCGATCTCAATACCAGGGCAAAGAACATCGACATGGCTGTCTCATTTTCCCGTCTTTTCTCTCCCACTCCCTTTTTCACTTACTCTCTCTCATTTCCCCACGTCCAAACACGCACCACTGCTCCTCGCATGTGCTGGCTCGATCTCGAAGGTACGTAGCCTCGATCAGCGCCGGATGCATTCGACTGAACAGGGCCCAGCATACAGCCCATCACTTCAACTCTCATGCTTACTCTTCTGTTCCCTTGCGCTCTCTCTAGTTAGCACTCCCTCACTCTTTCCCATGGCCCAACTCGCTGGCTGATTCCTTCTCGCCCGCACCTGGTAGCGCCAGAGGTGGGTGCTCTAACTTAAAGAACACTTAACCCAGCCCAGGAGCGTAGCCCTCTGCTTTTCTTACCTCTCAAGTTTGCCCGGCTTCCACCCGAAAAACCAGTTTGTTCACACCGGCCTGTTTCACTCCATCATGTTTGCGCTGATCACGACTGAATTGCAGCTTGCCCATGGGCCGCACCTGGCGGCAGCTACACGTTTGCATGAGCGGGAACGAACGAACACCAGCTCCTGAGCCGCGGACTCCTGGTCTGTTACGGCAGCGTGCTGCGTGTACCCATCATGATTCCCTGTGCGCTGTGCACGTCTGGTACGCGCGCTCCCCGCCCGGGGGCACGCGTCCGCTTGCTATGTACTTCCCACACACTCCCCCGAACTTCTCGCTTCAGCCCTCAGAACGCCGGGTACACTCGTCCCCCTTCCCTTCAAAAACCTCGCCTGTCTGAATGAA